AGAATGTTGAAGTTCATTTTTGCAGGTATTTAAGTTACTTGTGGATTAACTGAATCCTTTAAGTCTGTTTTTAAGCTTTGTTAGGGCAAGCCTAAAGTAGCTTTTACTCTAGGTCTAATTTAGGCCTAGTACTAAATTAAATACTTAATGTTACTTAGTCATGTGGGCCCTTTACCAATTGTTCCACTTATAGATCCTTGATAATTATTTTCCCAAACTCATAGAATTTCACTTATTCAATTAAATTTTTATTATTCAATGAAAAACTCAAAGGGGACCCTATCCAGATTTCTAGGGTGTTTCTCCACACAGGTCTATCACATTCCACACTGAATTAGTCTGATTTCACTCTGCTGATAAAGACATACTGAAGACTGGGCAGTTTACAAAAGAAAGAGGTTTATTGGACTCAGAGTTCCACCTGGCTGGGGAGGCCTCACAATCATGGCCTCCCCTAGGAGGTACAAGTCACATCTTACATGGATGGCAGCAGGCAAAAAAGAAAGCTTGTGCAGAGAAACTCCCACTTTTAAAACCAACAGATCTTGTGAAACCCCTTCACTATCATGATAACAGCATGGGAAAGACTTGCCTTCATGATTCAGTCATTTCCCACCAGGTCCCTCTCACAATACCTGGAAATTATGGGATCTACAAGATGAGATTTGGGTGAAGAAACAGAGCCAAACCATATCATTCCACCTCTGGCCCCTCCCAAATCTCATATCTTCACATTTCAAAACCAATCATGCCTTCCCAACAGTCCCCAAAAGTCTCAGTGCATATCAGTATTAACTCAAAATCCACGGTCCAATGTCTCCCCCAAGATGTGGCAAGTCCCTTCTGCCTATGAGCCTTTAAAATCAAAAGCAAGTTAGTCACTTCCTAGATACAATGAGAGTACAGTGCTAGGTAAATACAGCTGTTCCAAATAGGAGAAATTGGCCAAAACATAGGGTCTACAGGCCCCATGCAAGTCCAAAATCCAGCAGGGCAGTCAAATCTTAAATCTCTAAAATGTTCTCCTTTGACTCCATGTCTCACATCCAGATCACACTGATGTAAGAGGTGGGATTCCAAGGCCTTGGGCAGCTCTACCCCTGTGGCTTTTCTGGATACAGCCTCCCTCCTGGCTGCTTTTGCAGGCTGGTGTTGAGTGTCTGCAGCTTTTTCAGGTGCATGGTGCAACCTGTTGGTGGATCTACCATTCTGGGGCCTGGAGGACAGTGGCTCTCTTCTCACAACTCCACTAGGTGATTCCCCAATAGGGACTCTGTATGAGGGCTCTGACTTCATATTTCCCTTCTACACTGCCCTAGCAGAGATCTTCCATGAGAGCCCCACCCCTGCAGCAAACTTCTACCTGGGCACCCAGGCATTTTTATACACCTTCTGCAATCTAGGCAGGGGTTTCCAAACCTCAATTCTTGACTTCTGTGTACTTGCAGGCTCAATACCACATGGAAGTTGCCAAAGCTTGAGGCCTGCACCCTCTGAAGCCATAGCTTGAGCTCTTCATTGACCCCTTTCAACCACAGTTAGAGTGACTGGGAGATAGGGCACCAAGTCCTTAAACTGCACATAGCACAGGACTCTGGGCCTGACCCCGGAAACCAGTTTTTCCTCCTAAGCCTCCAGGCTTATGATAGGAAGAGCTGGTGCAAAGATCTCACATGCTCTGGAGACATTTTCCCTATTATCCTGGTCATTAACATTCAGCTCCTTGTTACTTATACAAATTTCTGCAGCTGGCTTGAATTTTTCCTTGGAGAATAGGATTTTCTTTCTATTGCATTGTGGCTACAAACTTTTATGCTGTTTCCATTTTGAAACTGAATGTCTTTAACAACACCCAAGTCACTTCTTGAATGCTTTGGTGCTTAGAAATTTCTTCTGCCAGATACTCTATATCATTTCTCTCAAGTTCAAAGTTCAACAAATCTCTAGGGCAGGGGCAAAATGCTGCCAGTCTCTTTGCTAAAACATGAGAGTCAGCTTTGCTCCAGTTCCCAAGTTCCTCACCTCCATCTGAGACCACCTCAGCCTGTACCTTATCGTTCATACTATTATCAGCATTTTTCTCAAAGCCATTCAACAAGTCTCTAGGAAGTTCCAAACTTTCCCACTTTTTCCTCTATTTTTTTGAGCCCTCTAAAGTATTCCAACTTCTGCCTGTTACCCAGTTTCAAAGTCACTTCCACATTTTCAGGTATCTTTTCAGCAACACCCCACACTACTGGTACCAATTTAGTGTGAGTAAGTCACATCTTACAAGGATAGCTGCAGGCAAAGAGAGCTTATGCAGAGAAACTTCGGTTTGTTAAAACAATTAGATCTTGTGAGACCCATTCACTATTATGAGAACAGTATGGGAAAGACCACCAGCCCCCTCATCGCTTGTGATTCAATCATTTCCCACCAGTCCCTTCCACAACATGTGGGAATTATGGAAGCTACAAGATATTTGGTTGGAAACACAGAGCCAAACCCTACCACACACATTGTTAGAAAAACCACAACCACTTCAGCTTTCTAATCTCTAATAGCCATCGCCTCTCTTTAGAGAGTCCACCCATTCTATACTTGGATTCCTTTCCCATAACTGTTGTTCAGAATGCCTTCGTACAGAAAGCAGGGGAGATTGGAGGGCTTATCTTATGTATTTACCTTCTCCCAGAGGTCACAATCCTTCACTGCCTTTTTATCAATGTTTACAAACATTAGTTTTTTACATTTTGTCCAGTTTCATAGTTCTTTATGTTGGGAAAGAAAGTACAGTTCTAGTTATCTGTCATGGCTGTAGATGAAATTCTCTTCTTAGGTGTGTTTTTAAAAGTCTAGCCATACGTTTTCTACATATCAGCTATATCCTTAACAGTAATGAGCTGGATGTAACACTCAGATATTGATACAATAATAGAAGGTGACTTTTTTTTTTTTTTTTTTTTTTTTTTTTTTTTTTGGGATGGAGTCCTCATTTGTTGCCCAGGCTGTAGTGCAGTGGCACAATCTCAGCTCACTGCGATCTCCACCTTCTGGTTTCAAGCAATTCTCCTGTCTCAGCCTCCTGAGTAGCTGGAACTACAGGCACATGCCACCATGGCTGGCTAATTTTTATATTTTTAGTAGAGACAGTGTTTCACCATACTGGTCAGGCTGGTCTCGAACTCCTGACCTCAGGTGATCCACCTGCTCTGGCCTCCCAAAGTGCTGGAATTACAGGCAAGAGCCACTGTGCCCAGCCTCAAGTGACTTTTGATAGATAATGAGGAGATGGGGTAAGTAAGTTACATTTACATGCTAGCCAGTAATGATATGTTAAATGATAAACAGGGCCATCACTGATGAGTAAAATGATTACATCTGAGTAACTTTTAAAGAAAAGAGTAATCTTTGTACAATGATAAAGCATAAGACTTGAATTATACACATATACAAAGAACAGGTGTGTATTTCAGAGAGGAGACTCATTGATGAAAATAAATAGCCTGCTAAATGAAAGAGTGAGGATTACTAAGGATGAGCAATTAAAAATGATTTTCAACTCAACACAAAAGGATACTTGGCCCAATATATATGAAAGAAATCGAGGTAGAGAAATATGTGATGAATGGAAAATGACCAGGCAATCACAAAAACCAAAGGCACCTCTGAGGAACACTGAGCTGCCTAAACTGCATTAGTAACATTCCTAGGGGATCTATGGAGAGGAAATAGGGAAATCAGTGCTGTGAGGTTAAAAAAAAATATATTCATGCCTATTCTCTTCTGAAAGCTCTGGAGCATACAACAAAACACGTTACAGAGTCACAGAGGAGAGAAGTTTGCTCTTTCACCACATTGAGGTTTTCCCACAGAGCAAGAGCACTGTGATGCCAAGGCTGTTTAGAAAGCAGTAACAGAGTGAGAATGCAGAGCTGCCTGATTTGCAAAAAGCATGACATCTAGTGTTACTAACCAGAGATATAATTTCTGTATCACCTCAGTTCTATCCAATCAGCTCTACAAACATGCTATGGCAGAATTTTAGACTAGGGAAATAAAAGCAACCCAACTTATTATATTCCTTGAGTAACTTACAATTTGGGGGAATAATCTGAGATTTAAAAAAGCATTCAAAATTTTGGTCAGTAATTATTTGTAATTTATCTTAGTGAGAAGATATAAAATCACATGGAATAAGGTAATTAGCAAAATTTATAAAAACATTAAATTTTAGTAGGATTAATGCAGAACAATAGTTTAATATGATGTACTTTTGAAATTTGTAACTTAGTAATATTAATATAAAATGTTGGGTTTAGTAAAGCCTACAAAGGTCATCAGGGATGACTTTTCTTTTTTATAGCATTCTGTTTTTACTTTCTGTAGTATTTCAAAGTTCCAATAACAAAAAACCCTTAAATTTCATATGTAGTTCAACTATTTCATGCAGCTTAGAATTTTATTATTAGCAGCCATAGAACTTCAGTTTTCAGATCATGATCTTGAGAAAGGACCATCATGAGACCATTGTGTCAACAAAGGAAAGACCAAGTCAATGTGACGAACGGGTCTTCTGCCGACTCAGATCGCAATGTCGGGTTGCTGAATTATACCCTTTTCATTTAAAAAATACTCCACCATTCTGTAAACACGAGTTGAGATTTTCTTCTTTTGTCTTTATTATGGATAAGAGTATAAGACAATAAATGAGGCTTCATATATTTTGTAATCACTGATATGAACAAATGAAAAATGATAGTTGAATATACATGTTGAACTTATCTAAAATATGATAATTTGCTTTAAAAGGTCTCTCAGGCATATAGAGAGTCTCTGGTACCTATAAATATGGGTAATTCATGGTAAAATTCAGAATTGTCATTAATGTGGAAATAAAAAATTCCTTGGAAATGTTAAAATAGTATGGGATTACTTTTTTCCCTAAACTATCAAATCCATAATTAGACTCAATAGTCCTAAAGGGTATTGAGTAATAAGGGTTCCCAGAAACCTACCTATGGCACACGTTTCTTCGCACTCTTCCAGACTGTCAAATCGATTCCGATTTCCTTCACATCCCCCATATATAAATTCTTCACACTGTCGAGTGAAAACATTGAAGAAATATCTCTTCATCCATGCTTTACATGGGCCATCATCCGCCTTAAATGCACAAAATGTATGCCTAAATTTCAGTGCTGGCAACTCAGTGTCTATAAGGTAAAAATAAGAGATATAACATGTCATCCTTCGTAACACTATAATAATGTTCTTTATTTCCTTTTTAATATGTCCTGATTTTAAGGAAAAATGCCATAACACATGTGGATAAGAAACAATAGAAAGTTATTCAGTTATCAAAATGGTAGATAAAGTTAATACATTCACCAAATGAGACACAACTTCTAGACTCTTGTTTGAGAGGTATTGCTTAAATCTCACTAAGTGAACTGGGAGGGAATTGAGTAGTACTTGTAAGGTAACTTAGAAGTAAGGTAACTTCATTCAAGTGAATGTGTCAGCAATAGACCCCTTCTTTTAACTCAAACAATGGACAATTATTTGAGTTTCTCTCCTTAACCTACAATTGTGTCACTCTTCATCCATAAAACAACAGCATATTCATTTTCATATATATATATATATATATACACACACATCTATGTATATAATACCATATTAAACCATTCCCTAATTATGAAAATGTATGTGTTTGATGTTACAAAAAACAAACTGCATAGTGCTTTTTTGTTTTTTACTTACCATACCATGCTTGGGTTTTAATAATGTTGAAATAACGTAAATAATGCTTTCTATGTTTTACATAGAATGAGGCAATTCTTTTGACTTTGAATTACATATATTTTCTTTAAATATTTAACTACTAATTATAACAACAGAGTTTTCTATCCTGGGAATGGGCGTACACATAGAAGAAATTCAACTAGATTTTTAAAACATTTTATTTTTTTCACATCCAATAAAATTAATAGAAGAAATCTAATGTTAAATAAGTTCTATTTGTTTACCAGTAAAGATAGATAAGAAAATTGTGGTTGGTGCAACCAAAAGAATAATGATGAAAATGCTATATAATACAGCTTGAATATTTTCTGTATATTGAGTACATATATTTTTTTGCCTTTGGCAATTGATTATTATGTGGAATATTGAAATCAGTAAATGACCTAAACCAGTTTTCCCTTTAGAGGAAAGCAATACTATATTAAACAGATGAGTATAAATATCTTCAAATAAAGTGTTTGCATGTACTCTAAAATAGTTTACTTTGAACAAAAAAAAGAATGAATGAGACTTTAATATTTTCACATAAAATATTTTTAAAGCATAAAATATGGGATAAGTTTGTGGATGTATGATTGTCTAAATAGAAATCCATTTTAAATTTCCTGTAATTTCAACACATGAATTTTTTTGAAAGAGAAACTATGCATATAATAAAAGTTAAATTAGATAATTTTATTAATTTCATTCCACCCATAATGTATTATTATTTTAATGATCAATTTTGAATTAATAGCAAGTATTAGTCTTACTTTACTAACGTTAAAACTCTTTGTAACAAAATGATTGAAATTGTATTGTTAATTTTGTATATGAGTCATAAAATTGTAAGTAGTCTTTCCAATCTTGGAAGCGTTAAAAATATAGCTTTCTATATATAAATTGGCATTTGCTGCTGTTTGATCCATGGGACACTAATTATTTATGAGAATGTATATTTTATCTCAACTACTAACACTGCTTTTAGTTGTTAAAAATTCCAGTTAAATTTATATAATGCCATCTAATCATTTTGATCTATTTGATATTAATTATTTTTTCAATTGATATAAATTGAGATTACAAAACTGATAGTAGAGTAGGGTTTTCAGATCCAAAATTTGTTAAGTTAGAATAACATATGGCAGATAATGATTATAATACAGGGATACTTTTATCATCAAACACAGTTGTTACAAAATAGCTAATTAGCAAATAAGAATGTTGGTCAAACCTTTAACTAAAGTTGAGTTTTATGTACATATGCTTTATTTTGTTTTTTTTGAGACTGAGTCTTGCTTTGTTGTCAGGCATAAGTGCAGTGGCGCAATCTCGGTTCACTGAAACCTCGGCCTCCTGGGTTCAAGAGACTCTCCTGCCTCAGCCTCCTGAGTAGCTGGGACTACAGTCGTGCGCCCACATGTCCAGATAATTTTTGTATTTTTGGTAGAGACAGGGTTTCACTATGTTGGCCAGGATGGTCTCGATCTGTTGACCTCATGATCTGCCCGTCTCCACCTCTCAAAGTGCTGGATTACAGGTCTGCACCACCGCTCCCAACCAAACATATGCATTTATGTGTCTTCAACTTTCTCTAGAATTATGTTCAATTGGCAAAATACAATGCTTGTGTTTACCAATATGATATATTTTAATAATTTTAAACCAATAACAGTGTTACTAGATTCAATAAATATCTACAGTCTATATATAAATAATTTTATCAAAATGAGTTAAGAAATATTGGTAAACGTTGACAAGTTTAAATGTCATTTTTCTTTCAAATCCTTTATCTAACATTTTATGTTGATGAACTTATCTAAAATATGATAATTTGCTTTAAAAGTTCTCTCAGGCACACAGAGTTTCTGGTGCCTATAAATATGGGTACTTCATGGTGAAATTCTCCCATTTTTCTTAAATTAGATACAAGTACTTTCTACTCTCTAATAGAAATTCATAACATAAATTTAATTGCGAATTGCTAAAAATGTTTTCTAAAAATAGAAAAATATATCAACCAAAATGACTTCTTAAAACACATTTTCTCTATCACTGAAATTAAAAATTGTCCGTTTGAATTTAAAAGAATGAAAGTTTTTTGCTGAGTGGCACATTGTGAATAATTGTAAATGCCGTTTATACTTTTTTGTCTTTACTTAAGCATTTTAGAATGCCAAGCTGACATTTTGAGTTGTTATGAGAAGCCAGAAAGTTTGGTATGAAAACCCTAAGTACCGCATATGACTTGCAGTAAGTCACAATAAGTATAATCGAATTTAGCATCATGAGTTTCTGAACTGTAGGCATGTTTGTTTTTGACACCAATAAAAATGTGACCTACCAGCTGTTTAAATATTGGACCTCAGAATTCACGTAATTTTAATTAACAAGGCATAAATAAAAATATTCTGGCATTTTAAACTTTACAGCTGTACACCATGATCTCAAATTGCTGCAGCACTTCTCATACAATGTGATGTTATTCATTCCCAAGCTACCGTTACTTTAGAACTTTAGAAACAAGTTATTGAAGCAGTGTTTCAGACAGAAAACTTGAATACAAATGTGTATCTGCAGAACACCGGGAATATTACCTAATTTCTCAGTTTCCATGTATATTCAGGAAAATCATTTGTTGTAAATCAATAATTTTATCAGATATTAATTGATGACTTCTCTACTTTTTATTCTCGATATATTTGATAGTGTTTATCATCAAGCTAAATCTTTTTTCCATTTCCTGCATTAAAGATGTACTCACCCAAGTTCAATCTGCTATTCACTAATTGGCCAGCAGGTGGCGGCAGTGCACCACAAAAACCAAAAGAACAAAAACTAACTGTAGTAGTTGTACGCGGCAATAATGGTTAATGTTGCTCACTGAGTAATTACAATACTCTGGACATTTTTGTAATTGTACCATTTAATGATCATAATAGTGAGTTAGATGCTATTATCTTCATTTTATAAATTATAAAACAGTATTGAAGAAATTAAGTAAATGGCTTAAATTCATACCATAAATGATGGATTTAGAATTGACCCCAATATGGTTTTACAACACGTACCTCACACCTTCCTTATACCTGCGTGACACTGTCACAGATGAGACTGAGATTCCTCAACTAGCATTTGGATCAAGCATACAGTTTTAATTACATAATCTTAATTAACAGCATTCTTTTTTCAGACATTCACCTTTATGAAAGTAAAAATGGTTGAAATGACAGAGGGAGGTGGTAATTGTACAGAAATTTTCTAGGAAAAGCACTAAGTATTAACTTTTATGAATTATATTTTGTTAATTATTAGGTGATTATTCGTCTTTATTTACACTTTAATGCATTTCTTATAAAAATCCTGTGTTAGACTATTCTTTGTGCAGTGATCCTGCGGCCCACACCTGAGCGCAGCATCCCGGGACTCAAGCAATGACCAGGCTTGGTGTGTGACCTTTGTGCCATGCCACTCCACCCAAAAGGGATGTAAATCTGCCTTGGTTTTCATTTCTTATTTTGGATAAACCCTTTTGGATGTTAATAATTATGTGGTGACCATGTGTTGGGCACTGTGCTGTCACTGCAGATATGACAGTTTATTAGGTGACAGCAGCTCCTCCTTCATGGAGCATATGGACACTAAGGACTTACACAGATATTCAGAAAGCTCTGGGTGCTGTGAGAGCGAACGATAGGATACGTAAATTATCCTGGAGTGGTCAGTGATAACTTTCTTGAAACTTGAAAGTGAGACTTGAAGGAAATGTTTACAGAGGTAATAATTATCTGACAGCAGCCATGAGAAACAAAACACATACAGGCAATCTAAAAGGAATTTAATGTGATCCAGCCATAGAAATAGAATTATGGTTTGTATCCAATCATTCGCACTTGATACCATGAATTTTATGTCTCATATTTCGAAGGTTACAATCCTGCCTTCCCCTCCCCACCGCCCTGTGTCCTGGGATGTTGGATAGAAAGCTTACTATAATATTTGATGCCTGAGAACATGTCATGCCCTTGACTGTAAGAATACTCATCCTCTTAGAACTTATTTGTGTATCTAGAGCTTTCAGGTAACTTACTATCTAAGAGTCTACATGCTGCTTGCCTCTAATGAAAGGATTTGATTTTTTTTTCTGGCAGGGAAGAACAAAGACATTTTCTGCCTTCTCTTTGTCAGAAAATATGCCGGATGATTTTTCACTGTTTATATTAAAACTATAGGAAATTAGTTATTTACATTATTCATTACAGCTTAAGACACTGGGAGTTAGAAAGTTTAAATAACTTATTCAATCTCACAAATGTACTTGGTGGCAAACCACACCTGCAAACTCAGGTCTGTCTGATTCTAAATTCTAAATTCTACCTTTCACTAAATGTTCACTCTTAATTTTCTCACTCCCAGCCCAATGGAATTGTTTTAAAAAGTGTATTACCACTGCTTTTGTTATCATTTTTTGTCTTATCTAGAAGTTAATTCTAGATTATTCTCCCTGCTGATTGTGAGAGAAGCAATAAAATTCAATGTATTTTTCTATTAATTGTAGCTTATTTCAATTAAATAATATACTTCTATAAAATGATGATATGATCTTAGCATCATGTGATAAAGTGTATCACCAAAATAGAATTTTTTTTTCAGATGTGAGATCTGGTTACTGTAAAAATTAATTTAAAATAAAAACAGAACAAAACCAGATAAAACTGAAATTAGTTGACCAAGAGGTCTTTAAGTCTAGTTTAAATATCAAAATTATTTGTTATCCATCTTGGTTTGGGAGCTATCTTAAAGTAATTTTCAATTCTGGCTTAATTACTGATGACTTGATTCTGGATTATTGGTTGACAGTGGCATCAGCAGCAATTTCAGGAACTTCCTGGTTAAGCAGTATTCATTTTCTCAGTCCAATTGAGGAAAAGTAGACTGGGACAATACAGGGAACACTTGGATCTATTTGTTCTCACTTTCCTCACGTGAGGTTGCCTGCTTTTTCCCTTTAGGACTTATTTTATCTCCATCTTCCTTGTTTCTGTAACCTCCAGAATGTTGGAACTTTAACCTATCCCTTTTTGAGAAAAAAGCCAAATGAAGGATTGAAACTCAACTTAATGTTCAATTCCTATTTTCAAAAAGGCATATTAGGGTTTTACTTTACTAAATAATGTCTCATCTCTAGGAAATTTTTATAACACCACGTCGCCTTGCAAGAGCCTCGGAGAGCCAAACTAGAATGAGTCTTCATCCTCTTCCCATCAACAGCAGCACCCTCCACATGCTTCCGTCACTTTGTTTACTCCATTATCCAGAAATAGACTGTCCACCCTTCAGACTCCTCTAGGAAATGGAGAGATTCTTCAGCACCTCATCTCAGCAATACCCGTTTCTCTAGCATGTTCCACAGTTTCAGGCCCAGAAGATGTATTATTTAAACTTTACTAAAGCACACGGAACGCAGTCATTTTAAAGCGTTATTACAGATATAAAATAAGAATGCATTTATGGAAATCTTTTTTACATCTTAAACTGCTATATGAAATAAAGCTATCATTTTGTTAATATTCTCTCATTAATACCAATACTTGAGATTTCTGTCAATAATTTACTAATCTGCCACAAAATGTTACTTTTAAGAAAGGTATTTTTTCACAATAACCATCACCATGCCGTCTTCTCTTTGCTCTACTTTTTATTGTTAATATTCTCATTTTTAGACACAGAGTTTTATGGGATTGGAGCTAACTTATATTACTAGATCCTTTGATGTCCTGCTTGACTAGATTTTTATATTCGTCTCGACTGGGAAGTTTTTATTTTGGAAATATGGGCAAGAAGCAGAGAATAGCTGAAGCCTCAGATGTCTGAAGTTCCCTTTCCTTCCCTACACTTTTCCTCATCTAAGGGTGGCATCAAATATTACAGGGAGTTGTTTTTACATGTTGCTCCTCGCAATAGCCCAGAGTTACTCCAGTGTTTGACATGGTACACGGAATAAAAAAGAGAAGTCTTTCAGCTAAAGTTACTTGGTTTTGGACTGTTTAGAACACAAGTGTGTGCATACACACACACACACAGAATAATAAATTTCCAAAGAAAAATATCACTTCAATAACAACTAATTTCTCTCCACAATGGAAAAATATTATACATTTTTAGATTAGAATTGAGAGGTTTGCCTAGTTTAAAAAGATAAGCTCTTCTAATATTTTACCTGTCATAATTACGTATTCATCATCTTCCTCAGAATCGGCATTAAGAGGGGTAGAGGCAAGATTAAGCAGCAGGCATATGGAAGCCCAAAGTGCATGTACTTTCTTCATTGTGCAAACCATCTCTGAAATACAGAACGCATGCATATCTAATAAACAAAGTGATAATGTGGACTCTTTTGCAGACTAGTAAACATCATATGCATACTTCAAATGCAAATTTCTATGACATTGTATGTGTGTACACATACATTTCTCTGTGCATACTCCATGAATCATATTTAAAATGTATATGTAGTATTCAGAATTATGGGCAAACACCTTCAGTGCATATGGTTATTAATATTTAAGCAAACAGGTTATATTTCAACTTTGAAAACATAAATAAAAAGGACAATAATTGAAAGACATGGGTAAATATTGATCATATGACAAATAATGTATTAAGTAAGGTCTGTTTCTGCATGCAGTTTCACTTTCCACATCTTTCTCACAGTTATTCTTCCTGAGTCAGAACTAATAAAGCATTTTTTGCATTTTTAAAATTATTTCTTTAATGCAACTTTTCATTTCTGATTTATCGTTCCCTCTGCTTTGATTCTTTTTTTTTTTTTAAGGAAACACATTTTCAGAATTTTCATCTTTGTGTCCTTTAAAAAATATATTATTTACCTGAATTTCTGAATCAGGTTTTCTATGAGATAGCAGACAGTCAAAACAGCAGACAAAAGAACTGTCTGACATTCAGCTAGTCCTTTTTCCCAGTTCATTATCTCCCCAGTTTGGGGAGTTATCTGATTCAAAAGAGTTTCACAGAAAAGTGACTCTAAGTGATAAGCCATCACTCATTACACTCCAAAGGAAACAGATTTCAGTAGGAGAGTGAGACTTTTCCTGTTTCAACATCATTTAAAGATCTATAGCCAAAAAAAGAAAGAAAGAAAGGAAAGAAAGAAAGAAAGAAAGAAAGAAAGAAAGAGAAAGAAAGAAAGAGAAAGGCAGCAGAAAGCAAGAAATCACCTCTAGGTATATTTTTAAAGATGATTTCTTCTTTGGATTCAAAGGTGGAAGGAAAAGTGTAATGATCATACAACACAGGAAAAGAAAAACAGAGAACACTTGTTTCCTTCCTGTTCTCAGCCACCAGTGCCATTCCAGTCAGGAAGGAAAGCAAGATCTTATCAGCAAATATTCACCAATGCAGGGAAGATACTCCATCAAATACAATCTGGAGAATTATCTGGTTTTGTCTGTGGCAGTTCACAGCTGCAATATACACCATTGTGGGTAGCCATATAATAATCAAGTAATACATGTTATTATGCTTTAATTTGCATTAAAATCACTACTGAGATAAATAACCTTTTTTTCTCACAGCACTTTGCAAGTGTTAACATACATTTGATTTTTAGTGAGTAGAGATGCCATATATCTCATAAATCATATCATAAACTATTTGAATTCACAAATATATATGAATTTTTATTTATATATAAAATTATATATATATAATTTATATAATTATATATTTATAAAATTTATATAAATTATATATAAATATATATAATATATATAAAATTATATATATTTATATATATAATTATTTATATATAAAATATTTATTTATATATTATTTATTTATATATATAATCATGTAGCTGTTTATATAGCTACATGATTTTGAAGAATCTTTAAAGTAAACTAATTCTTATCTCATTTTTGAACACATATTTTTCAGTGATTTATTTGTTTCCATTTGATTATTTGAAATATACGATCCTGCTATACCTTGAGTATAAAATACAGAATATGTTTTGTATCACACAGTTCAGGAAGCAGGTTGAGTTTGAGGGTCTACTGAAGCAACTGAGAGTCAGGCTCTAAATCCAAGAAGTTCCTCTCAAAAAAATGGCGGCCTAGGATACTTCATAAACTTAGTACTCTAGGCTTTCCTTGGGTGCTAGGATTAGAAACCAACTCTGACAAATCTGGATCATCAGTTTATTTCTTCTAGAATATTTGGAACAATCTGAGACAGAAGGTCAGGGTTGCACTGGTTCTCAGAAACAACTACAGCTGGTGAGCCAAGCACCACCAGGTATTTCTCATTGTAGCTACACACCTTAGACAGCTTCATTTTCTCTTGGTGTGACCCAGTCTTCTTGCATAGCGTGATGTATGATCAATGGACTATTCTTGGTTTTAAACCCAAAGAGTTTTTCCATCAAAATAGCATGACTACTTCTCTTTATAGCCCAGGCTTAAAGAGCTTGAGACCAGCTCTGATAGTTTCAGCTTGAAGCAAGGGCCACCTTTGGGACCAATCCATTTGAGCTAGGAATTATAGGAGACCATCATGGATTTGATGGACTCACAACCAGTCTGGGGTCCGGAATAAGAACATGCAATCACATTGCAAATATTAATGAAATTATATGGTCTGGGTGGTGGAGGGGACAAGTGTAACTCCCAGAAGGAGGAAATTGTTGCTTTCAGAAGGGAAGGGTGTTGGACAGATAAAGCTATGACTATATACCATAGCAAGCCATAGCTAAATGATAGCATATGTAATTTTAAAAAAAGAAAAATAAGCAAAAGGGAAAATAAAGTACATGAATTGCAGGAGGAATTAAATATTCAAATTTTTATTAAAAAATTCTATCTGGTCCTGGGTGATAGCAGATTTAATGTAGGGATGAACCCATACATCAACTTGTATATACCATACAAAATGTTTTTCCTTTTGGAAAACTCCAACTTTCTTAAAACTGGTAAACAGAGGTTTATAAAATACCATCTGTGGATCTCCTCCTCCCATAGACCAGCAGAGAATTTGATGTAAAGATCTGTTTGATAAACCCATAATCCTGGCTTTCTAATACAAACATTTAAAAAATTTACTTAATTATTTAAAATAGTTTTATATTTCCAAAAATAAAAACGAGAAGAGCATACACAGACTTCTCATACAGTTTCCTTATTAGCATGTTACATTAGTATGGCGCACTTATCACTATTACACCAAAATTGATATCGTTACTAACTAAAGTCCATACTTTAGTCAAATGTCCTTAGGTTTTTCCTAATCCTTTTTCTGTTCTAGCAACCCATCCAGAATACCAAATTGCTCTACTTGTCATCTCTCCTTAGGTTCCCCTTGGCTGTGATAATTCCTCAGACTTTTCTTATTTTTGATGATCTTGACAGTTTTGAGTAATACTGGTCAGATATTTTGCAGGGTATCCCCTCATTAGAATGTATCCGATGTTTTTACTCATAATTAGAACAAGGTTACAGGGTTTGAGGAAGAAGATCACAGAGGTAAAGGCCATTTTTTGTCACATTAAGACAGGATATATACTACCAACATGATTTATGACTGCTGATATTGATCTTAAATGCATGGCTGGGGTAATGATTGTTCGGTTTCTCCACTATGAAGTTACTTCCTACCCCCAACTTTTCCTACCATACTCTTTATTATTATTATTATACTTTAAGCACTGGGATACATGTGCAGAATGTGTAGATCTGTTACAGAGGTATATATGTGCCATGATGGTTTGCTGCACCCATCAACCCATTATTTACATTAGGTATTTCTACTAATGCTATCCCTCCCCTCACTGCCTCATCCCCCTGCAGATCCCAGTGTGTGATGGTCCCCTCCCTATGTCCATGTGTTCTCATTGTCCAACTCCCACTTATGAATGAGAACATGCAGTGTTTGGTTTTCTGTTCTTGTGTTAGTTTGCTGAGAATGATGGTTTCCAGCTTCATCCATGTCCCTGCAAAGGACATGAACTCATCCTTTTTTATGACTACATAGTATTCCATGGCGCATATGTGCCACATTTTCTTTATCCAGTCTATCATTGATGGACATTTGCATTGGTCCAAGTCTTTCCTATTGTGAATAGTGCCACAATGAACATACGTGTGCATGTGTCTTTATAGTAGAATGATTTATAATCCTTTGGGTATATATCCAGTAATGGGACTACTAAGCCAAATGGTATTTCTATTTCTAGATCTTGGGGGAATCATCACACTGTCTTCCAAAATGGCTGAACTAATTTACACTCTCACCAACGGTATAAAAGCATTCCTATCTCTCTATATCCTCTCCAACATCTGATGTTCCTGACATTTTAATGATAGCCATTCTAACTGGAGTGAGATGGTATCTCATTGTGATTTTGATTTGCATTTCTTTAATGACCAGTGATAATGAGGTTTTTTTCATATGTTTGTGGGCTGCATAAATGTCTTCTTTTGAAAAGGGTCTGCTCATATCCTTCACCCACTTTTTGATGTGTGTATGTGTGCATGTGTGTGTGTGTGTTTTCTGCAAATTTAAGTTCTTTGTAGATCTGGATATTAGCCCTTTGTCAGATGCATGAATTGCAAAAATTTTCTGCCATTCTGTAGGTTGCTTGTTCACTCTGGTGATAGTTTCTCTTGCTGTGCAGAAGCTCCTTAGTTTAATTGGATCCCATTTGTCAATTTTGGCTTTTTTGCTATTGCTTTTTGTGTTTTAGTCATAAAGTCTTCGCCCATGCCTACGTGCTGAATGGTATTGCCTAGGTTTTCTTCTAGAGTTTTTATGGTTTTATGTATTACATTTCAGTCTTTAATCCAGCTTGAGTTAATTTTGTATAATGTGTAAAGAAGGGATCAAGTTTCATATTTCTGCATATGGCTAGCCAGTTTTGTCAACACCATTTATGAAATTCTTTTCCCATTTTCTATTTTTGTCAGGTTTGTCAAAGACCCGATGGTTGTAGATGTGTGGTGTTATTTCTGAGGCCTCTGTTCAGTTCCATTTGTTTATATCTCTGTTTAGGTACCAGTACCTTGCTGTTTTGGTTACTGTTGCCTTGTAGTATAGTTTGAAATCAGGTAGTTTGGTTCTTTTTGCTCAGAATTGTCTTGGCTATATGGGCTTTTCTTTGGTTCCATATGAAATTTAAAGCAGTTTTCTTCTAATTCTGTGGAGAAAGTTAATGGTAGCTTGATGGGATAGCATTGAATCCATAAATTATTTTGGGTAGTATGGCCATTTTCATTAAACTGTTTCTTTTTATCCATGAGGATGAATGTTTTTCCATTTGTTTGTGTCCTC